GAAATGAACTACGACTAGAATGAATTAATGAACTCCAATTAAACTATATTGAATTATAGAATATGTATGTGAACATGTATATGCATATATTTTAATTAATCGACAATTGAAGAAATGTTGAACAACAATCTAGTACAGAATAAAATTTGCGTCGTAGTTTCTTAGAGTTAGAGTGTTGTAGAATATCTTTTCGAACCATAGAGGCGCTGCAAATCTTAAACTTTCATCACATGGCAACATTGATTCTTGTCTTATTCCTATCAAGAATTTTCTCTATGGTTTCCTTTGCCGACATACTTTTTGACAGTACGACATGGCAGTATATCATTTACACGCCTCAATTATTATTTAATCGACATTACGCATCAAGTTATGTAGGTAAGCCGAATTCTTTACGCTCAAAAGAACATCAAAAAACATATACAGGCCGGTGAATCTAGTGTGCGTTACAATTCGTGAATTGTTTTCCATTTGACTTGAGAACAAATTAAAATAGTACAACGCAACTACTACGAGAGATCGGTTTACAATGGCGGTTAATGTGTATTCTACAAACGTTACATCCGAAACCTATCCAGACATGATATGCTAGCTTGGGTAAATGATTGTTTATCATGTTCTTATTCGAAAATAGAAGAATTATGCACGGGCGCGGCTTATTGTCAATTTATGGATATGTTATTCCCTGGCAGTGTGCCCATGAAGAGAATAAAATTCAAGACCAACTTAGAACATGAATATATCCAAAATTTCAAGTTGCTGCAGGCCTCTTTCAATAAAATGGGTGTGGACAAGATCGTGCCCATTGATAAGTTAGTCAAAGGAAGATTTCAGGATAACTTCGAGTTCATGCAATGGTTCAAGAAGTTTTTTGATGCTAACTTTGATGGTCGTGATTATGATGCATTAGCAATGCGTGAGGGAGCTCCAATGGGAAATGCTAGTGGTAATAGAAACATGATAGCTAAGAAAACCCCAGCACCTAGATTTGACTCCAATAAAACAGCCAGAAGTGCAATCTCCGCTAATAATCCCTCAAGAGTCCAAACAACAGCAAAACCAAAACCAAGTCTCGCAACTAATAATAGAGGTGCTGCTGGGGATACCGGCAAAGTAGATGAATTAACTAATCAAGTGCTTGATTTGAAGTTGAACGTGGAAGGGTTAGAGAAGGAAAGGGATTTCTATTTCAGCAAACTTCGTGAAATTGAAATTATGTCAAGAAAGTCAAGATACAAGTGATAATCCGCTAATCACAAAAATAATGGATGTTCTTTATGCTACTGAAGATGGCTTTGCTCCCCCTGATGAAATCGAAGGTGTTGCAAACGAAGAAGAGGAGGAAGAGTATTAAAATTGTAAAGTGATGATGATGGGTTAAGTTTTGTACTTGGAGTAAATTATTTTTAAATTGAAGTAATAAAATTTTAAACTGTATTGCTTTTTCAAATATTTTAAATAGTTGCCTATTGTATCTAATAGTTAAGTATTAAATGAAATGATTGCAATGCAAATGTTTTATATTAATTGATCATTTATTTATATTGAAATTTATAAAGGTATTTTGAGAGATGGGAAGAAAGTATCTATTTTTGAATAGGTGTTATGTATTAAGAGCCAAATTAAGACTGCTGCATTGCAATCCTTGTTTTACTGTTTTAAGGATTTTATGATAATTTGCAATTGAAAATAAAACGTTAAAACTGAATTTTATATCAATTTCAAAAAACTAGAAATATTTTATTATAATGTTATTAATCACTTCAATAATTTTTCAAGAATTGTGGAGGTATTCAAAAAGTATTGTAAAGTTTGAGCTTTGAATATCCTTAATTTTACTTGGTTTATATATAAGAATCGCTAAATTGCATTTAAAATTTACAAAGTTAAAATTGATGACAGTTTAATTATGTTAAAATATTATGATGCATGCCTTAGAATACTCATATCTTTTATAACTATTGGAAATTTAAATTGAGTTTAGTTTTTTTTATTCTTTATAATAAAAAACAAATAGAAAAATATACAAAAAAAGCTATTTTTTCATGAATGAAATATATTGAACATGCTGCTGAAATCTGTATCTTCCTATAAATAAATGGTACTCTATAAGAAAGCATGTTTCTCATTTCCTCCAAAATCAAAATTGTTTGATATAAAAATAATGTATTTAGTGCATTACTTGTGATAATACACAGGGGTAAAAAGTCAAATACAGTAGTGGTGGCAGGATAAAAAATTATCAGAAATTAATAGAAATAAAATATGAAAATAATTTTTAGAAAATTGTATCTATTGTATGTAATAAGGCCATACTACCCGAGAGGCCAACAACATTCTTATTTTCAAAATAGTCAATTTCTTATAAATGAAGCATATAATAAATTAAGTCAGTCATACATTCTTATTTATGAGTAATATTGAATAGAAATTTTTATATAGAAATGTTTAGAGCTTAGATACATGTATTTTCTATAGAGTACCAATATACGTTCATTGAACTATAAACATCTTGCAAAAATATAATAATAAATTCTGCTCACCTGTCATGTCTAATAAACTCCACATCATGACCAGCATGACATGTCTTGATGCAATTGACACAGATTGCATTTCTGTCCGTCGTGTTACAAGTTTGGCATCGGTAGAAATCATGCATAGGAAAGCTAGTATATGAAGAGATTTTGTATAAACATTGACTGTTCGAAACAGCTTTTTCAACAGCATCTTGATTGTTGAAGATTTTATTGCCTCTAATTATTGGTTGCACCCCACTCGCCAAACAAAGGCCTGGAATTAAAAATAAAATACAATATAGTTTTTAATGAAAAGCTTTTCTATTATTTATTGGAATTCTTTCATTACTATAATCATAACCCGCTGATGCATGATTATGATGTAATCATATTAAAATTTATAGACAAATATTTTATAAATTTTCACCCAACTTATAAAACTTGTATACACATTTCAAAATACTGATGCACGTCATTATTATTGCTCAAATTAAATTGAAATTTATAAATTGTGTATATTTTCATATCACCACATAGAGTTAGTGCAATGTATGTTATTGTTAATAATGCGAAATAAGTTTTGCATTTTTGAATCGAGAATATTTAGTAATGAGCGAATATAACATACACATTTCTCTATTAATATTTCTTTCAAGATATATCTTTTGTCTCAACTGTAAAATGTCAAACAATTTAATATTATTCATTATTCTTTGCAACAAATGTTCCAAAACTAAGATCATGATTTTCCAAATAAGGTCAGTATCATGTAAATTTAAGTTTGATGCTTTAATAAATCTATTTCAAAATAATTTTCCATGTACATTTTATTTTATATTATGAGACTATTATATGAGGAAAGACATATAAAGTAACACAAGCCTTTATGCCTTTAGATCAATATTGTATAGTAAAATATATGTTGATTGTAGTTTAAACAATATAATATAGTAGATTTAATTTTAGAGTCAAGTTTCAAAATTTCAATTGCATTAGAAATGATATGATATGAATATGGCAAAGCAGTGACAAATTACTTTGACAATAAATACAAAGATTATATTTTATCTGAATTTCAAAAATTTCTAAAATATGTTAAATGTGAATCACAAAAAATAAAACAACAAATAAATTGACTGATAAATAATCTTACCTCCAAATCTATTGTTAAATATTTGATTAAATTCTAGTGTCGCAGTAGCATTGTTTGTTATTTCAACACCTGCAGCAAGACCATCAAAAATCCGATTCCGCCTTAGCAGTGGATGACTTTGAGTTGATATTAACACTCCAGCTTGAGCATTTCGAAATATATCATTTTCTTCCAATATACCTGATACAGAAGTAAAACAAACGACATCAATAACATTTTTCTTTTACATAAATATTATAACAATTATGAAAATCACCTTTTCCTCCATTGAATATACAAATGCCACCATCTCTTCCATCAAAAATCTTGTTTCTTTTTAATGTTGGATTTGAATCTGTTTTTATCCAAACTCCTGCCATTGCATTATCAAAAATTTCATTTTGTTCCAACAATCCAAGGCCTGCAACAAATATTTCATCAAATACTTTTCTGAACTTATTTCAAAGGTTATATATGAATAGTTAATAAGCTATCAATCAGAATTTGTTGCAGAACATATGTACTAGCTGCAGTTAAAAAAAATTGATATATATTTGAAGAAGCTCTTTGAACTAATACGGTTATAGTATAAATAATATTACTTCAGATGCACATATGTAAAAGAATAATAACCTCCATTATAAACAAGTACTCCTCCATTCTGTCCACCCCATATTTTATTTCCTTTAATGACTGGGTTACTTCCCGTTCTGATCTGGACACCAGAGTAAAGATGGTTGAAAATATCATTATCCTCAAGTTTACCATGTCCGTTATCATAGAAATAAACTCCAACTTGTTTTCCAGAATGAATTCGGTTTCTCCTTAAAACTGGCATACTGCCTGTTGTAATCCACACACCAGCCAAAGTATTTGCATACACCTGAGGAAGATGAGACAAATAGAAGTTACAATAAAAATCTCAAAAATTGTGTAATATAAACTAAAAGCAGTCCCTTACGTTTGAAAAAATATATATTTACATTTAATCTGCCATTGAAAATTTAGGACTTAGAAGACAATAGAATTTAGTGGCTTCATAAACACCATTATGAAATACTATACATTTTAGAAATTGAAATCTTCTAGAGAATCAATTATATTGAAATAATGAAAAACTGCCAACAAATGTTTTATTTTAATAATTGATTCCTTATTCATTAGAAAAATAATTTTTCATTTTCATGTTGTAATAGAATTATGATAATAATTTCATAACTTTACCTCATTTTCCTCTATTAATCCTTGACCCTTCTCATGCACATATATGCCACCATGTTGTCCATGGTGTATTTTATTATGTCTAACTATTGGATCACTATTAGTACGGATTTGAATGCCAGCTAAAGCATTGCCATAAATATTATTGTGCTCAATCAAGCCACGACCTTCCCCGAATATATACACCCCGCCTTGATGGCCATTGTAAATTTCATTTCTTCGTATTGTAGGATTACTATTTGATGTTATCCATACCCCTTGAAATTAAAAATAATTATGAAACATCATAAATGCAAATTGAATATATTTAACATGAACTAACTATTTATTTGTAAATATTTATTTTCAAATAGTTACTAATAAAAGATATTTTATTTCTTTAGTATTTGAGAGATTATACAAATTCTAGATTATAAATAAAGTTCATTAACTTTATTTTAAACTTTTAATATTGTTGATAATCTATAAACATTGCAGGTTTTTCAGTTAAATCGTACATTTTCAATTTCACAACTTTTTTGTTAACAAATGTTCATATCATGGTTAAAGTTATCATGCAGAAATATTTTCAAACAGTTTATGTATGACTTACCTGCGAAATTATTTGAATGAATTTTGTTTTCTATAAATTGACCTAAACCATTTTCATGAACATATATTCCTCCAGTTTGACCATGATGAATTTCACATTGTACAACTGTAGGATTTGCACCAGCTTTGACTTCAAAGCCTGCTATACGATTGTTATGGATATCATTTGATTCAAAATAACCCTAAAAAATAATTATATATAATAAGAATACACCAGTAAAATATGAAGACATAAGTATAAAAAATAATCCAATTTTGATATTTTCAATCAATGTATCATGCATAAAGAAACTGCATATTAAAAAAGTATAAAAAATGAGGAAAAACAGGAAAAGTATAAGCATTTTCATATAAAATAAATTGGTTCATAAATGGCTATGCTTAGATTTCAGCATGTGAAAAGGATATTTTCTATAAATTTCTTACCATTCCATTATCAAATGTGAAAATCCCAACATCTCTTCCATGGTGTATATGGTTCCGTCGCATTATAGGATTTGCATAGTTTTTTACCCAAATACCCGCTAGAGCATTTCTACTAATCTCATTGTCCTCATAAGTTCCTTGTGCATAATCTGTTACATACAATCCAACATTCTCACAATCACTTATATCACAGTGTTTGATTGATGGGTTAGCACCCATGCCTGATACACATACTGCTGCTCCTACTGTAAAAAATAAATTTATATATATATATATATAAACATATTATATATTAGGTGTATACATTCAGATATGTTTGTGTGTTTGTCATTTTTCAATCATATTTGGTAACTAGTTGTAAGTAGCATTTTGCGTTAAGGCAAGTTGCATGAACTTTCACTACGTATACATAGGAAATTTAATCAATTAGAATTGATATTCAGCTATTTGAGTAGAATACTACTGTTAATTTAAGAATAAAATTTTCGTTTTTACTAAAAAATAATTAATATGATTTCCAAATGATGTCTTTCAAATATACTTCTAATACATATATGAAATTATATATGTTAAATTAATTTGTTTAACATATTTCATTCATCTGTTTCTGGTTCTAAAATTGTATTTCATTTAGGTGTGGTCTAAGCTATAATCAGAAGCTACCTTTGAAACACAGATTCTGATAAGAATCGCTGAAGCGCGCAACAAAATTCTGAGCTATGTATTTTGAATTTTTATAATTCAACCACTTATCTTAGGCCTATTATATTTTAGTATATTATTTCAAACCGCAAAATCAATCGTTATACAATGTTTCATTAAATCACCAAAAATCTTCTTTTCAATATATATTTACGAAGAAACGGCCCGGCTGATCTTTACCCAAAACTAGTCAATGCGAATATCCCAAATAACTTCCCAACAGTTTTTGAATTTTCAAAACCGATTGAAGATAGTGGGCTCAAACGTGGGCGAAAAATTTTACACTTTTCTGCCAAAGAAATGGCTTGGCCGATCGTCACGCAACTGACCAAAACTTGTCCATTATGATGGCTTAAAAAAATTTTGAAATCGGACCAGCCGTTTTTGAGAAATCGTCGACAAAAGTTCAAATATTGACTCACACACACTTACATACATACTTTTTCCAAATTAAGACTTTTTAGATTCAATATAACTTGAAGCGTCGAGAAAACAAAATTAGCAAATTGGCAAAATTTTCGCGAAAACATAAACATCTCCTTTGAGAAGTTAAAAATGTCGTATCTTCTTAATGACCATAACATTGAAACTGAGAAAAGTTATCATCTAAATATAGTCAAGAATGAAAATGATTCCAAATAAAGATTATGGTTCACTTACCAACACTGGTACTCCTAATTATACAGTGATCAACTGTAGGGCTGCAATTTTCACCAACTTCTAAACAGTAATGCTTATGATGTGGAGCCGTGGATGTTAGGTCTGGGCTAAACTTTAATGTTAAATGACCAGCATAAGCTTGCTTTGCGCCTTCAACAAACATCACAGTTGATTCAGATTCTCGTTCTAAAATAACTGACTCTGCAACATTTCCAGGTGCGGCTCCTGAAATAAATTGTATAAGTAAAAATCATTGAATATAAAATAACTATATCTTAAAAATTGTAAAATGAGTTTTAGGATTATAAAAAACTTATATCTTATTATCTGACCTATCAGAGCAATGTCAGAATCAATGACAAGAAATTCTCCTCTGTATGTACCAGCATGCAGAAACACTAAAGAACATTGATTTTCTTGAGCACCAACACCATTACCGCTCATTGAATAACTAGTATTTGAACCAGTTGTTGGACTTGAAGCACAATTTCGTTCATCAGCATAAACTAAAGCGCCCTGAAATAAATAAAATCAATTGTGATTCAATACATCAAAAGTGGGGCCAATATAAAATTAAATAAAATATTGGCCATGAATAAATATAAAATCAACTGTACTATTTAAAAACTAGTCAAAAACAAAGTGAATTATGATAAAATGAAAATTACTCACTTGTAAAGTATTAAAGTATTTAATATTCCTCCCACAGTATTTTTTATCCTGATATCCAGGCCTAACATGAATTCCTCTGTATAATTGCCGAAAAGATTCTTTCCAAGGATTTTCATATTCACAATCATCTGGTGAAGCAAATTCAAACCTGCATTGGCCAGGATTGAAAAGTGGTAGGTCGTACTCATAGACATTTTGGTATATTCTTTTCCTGAAAATTGAAAAAAAATAATGCCCTATTAAATATTGTCATTTATTACACATTGTAGAAACTTCTCAATGTTTATGTAAATACTATATAAAAAATGCATTGATAATTCTAAATTCATAATTATTGATGAACATATTGAAAATACTGGAGCTTTGAAAAACGCCTTGTGCAGAACCTTGCATGTATTGTTAATAATGGTTAAAAATATCCTTTATTCATCAGACATGATAAAAAGTTTTAGAGGTAAATCATAAAAACCGCAAACATAACATATTTTAAATATATTACATACATATCTATTTTACAATCTAAGTGCTCAAGTAAAAATATTTCCTTAAAACTTACCACAATTCAGTATCATTTGCAATAACTTGAAACCTTTTGCAAACTTGAGCTAAATGACAAAGATCTTGTTCTAATAAATATGATAATATTGTTAACAGAACTTCGTCAGGAAGTTCATATTGCAAATAGTGGGAAGCAGAATTTGGAGAGTTATCCGCTGAAGTTGAACATGTCCTACAATATAAATATAGATTTTTTAATAGCTTTTGGTTTCAGCAGTATAATATTCTGTAAATACTTGTAAATATTATTATTAACAAATTGTAAATATGCAAGTATTTAAAAAAAAAGAAAGTGCATCTCATTTAAATGCATTACCTCCTCGGTCTCTTTCTGGCTGGTAACATATACCCTCCACCATTTGAAGTCGATGAGCTGCTGCCTGTAGAGCCACTAGGTCCAGCAAGACTGCTACTACTTCCTGCTGCGCACGTCACTGTGGAAGGAGCTGTAGAAGCAGCACTAGTGGAAGCCCCCCAATCATGATTAGAAGAAGGACTCTTTCTACGTAAGTCGTACGGACTGTGATGTACTACTGCGGCACCTAGAATGAATTATACGGTATTAAATAGTAAGCAATCAGTAAAAAGAATTTAATTTGTGTCTAAAGTTCTAATTAAAAATATCTATTCGTCCCAATCTGCACTATAAGAAATACTTAACTTTCTGTAGAAATCGTAATAAAATCAAATATGATTTTTCTGATCGTTTTGGCATACTTCAGAAAAAGTGATGAATATTGTGTGATAGTAATATTGTGTATGTAGTCATTCAATTCGTACTAATGCTGTGGAAAAGGTATTTTTAGCAATGATGGGTATTCGTGGTACTAAGCATGTAATTTGATTGACGAATAATATTTTACAAATAACTTTAAAATGCTCAAAATTCTTATTATTACTAATTTAGAATTTGCCCATTTGATCATCATTTATTAAAAAAATCCAGTCATAGTTTCATTGTTACTAACCCGCTGGAGGCCCGCAATGTGAATTGGCTGGTCCATTAGCATTTCCAGCAGTAGAGGCGGATGACGTTGATCCCGTACATCCTAAATTTCCACCAGCTCCGCCACCACTGCTCGCACTTCCACCAGAGGCAGACGCGGCGGACGTTGAAGGAGCGCCATCTCCGGATAAGGAATTATTGGGAACAAAAACCACTGGATTATCTACTGGACAAATTGATATTTATACATGGATTTCTAACAATTGAATGATAGATATTAACAATTATATATACTGGAAATTGACATCCAATAAACGTTCCAAAGAAAGCATAAAACTTAGTACGAATAATACAATTTGTGTTAGTACAATTGATATTGGTTTTGGATAATACTAAGTAAACTATTACAATATAAAATGTTTCAAATAATATGATATTTATAAATTATAAATATTACAATTTTGATGGTGTAAATAATTAGGTCCTACTTCTCAGAACTATTATTCAAAAGACCTTTAAATTTACTAATTCGAATATATATTTAATTTGCAAGTCCTTTCTGTGATGAACTAACAATAATGTTGAAGATCAGAATATCTTTATAATGTTTAACACAAATCAGTTTTAGATAAAGTGATTATATTTTCAAATCATCATGCTTTTTCATTTTAGAATACACTAAAAATTCAAGGGAATTTAACAAGAAGTCAAATTGCAAGTACTCCAAAATCAGTTTACTTTGAGTGAAGGTACTATTTTAATCTTCTTACATTTTGTTTTGTAATGCATTACAAGCTTCAAGCTTTAGCATTGAAATTAGCTTATGTAGTATTAAAAATGTAAAGCTTCTAAATGTAAAAAATGTAAATTAGCTTTTACATTAGGATTCCCAATGATCATACAACAAATATAATAAGTTGCATATAAAATTAACATTCAATATAAGATTTTAGTTTAATTTTTTTTCCTTTGTCTAAAATCATTTCACAAATACTATTAGAAAAAATTTAAAGTTGTTCAGATAAGGAACATAGTAAAACCAATGTAACAGAACAATAGGCACGAGTGTTAGATGTGCCTGTTAAAATAACTCGTTGGTAGATAACTCGCCCACTTGTTAACTATCATTATTTGAACAATTCTAACCGACTGATTAAAAACGAGGTGCATTAAATATTCACACAGTAATATAAAGCATTTCAAAGTAAAATTCAGAATAATAAATTTATTGTTGATAATATAAAAAAAAATCTTCATACAAATGATAAATAATTTTCAGTATTAATAAAAAAATAAGATCTAATATAATATACCTCATATAAAAATTAAAAAAAAATCAAATTCTTTTCATTAACAATAATATATTGATTATATTAAACCGTATTTAATATATTTTAGTATATATTTTGAAAAAGCAACAAAAGTTTTTCTCTTAAATTATAATGAATAGAAAATTGAACGTTTTGAAAAGTAGCAGAAAATAAATAAATTAACTAAAACTAATCTGAAGGCCAATCAACAAAAATGCAAAATATAGAATAAGCTAAAAATCGGATTTAATATTTTGTACAGATCAAGGATGTATTTATATGATGACTAGCAAACCCGACAAACTCCGTTTCGCCACCAGATGGTTTCGTGAGAAAGATGAAGAAATTTTTTGTTTGTTTTATATTTTAAAGGGAAAATTTGATTTTATCATACAACAGTAACGAATTTATTTTGATTACAAAAATGAAGTGTTTTTTATTTGAACTTCTCTAAGTAAATGAAAGTGAATCCGCAAATTATCCGTTTCATGGAAGTGATTTTTGGTAAACCACATTTTTTGTTTTTTGGTCTGACGTTAACACAAACAAAGCGGATGGTTTTCCAACTCGTGAACAGGCAACGTATAACTGCCCATGTGAAGAACAATGATTTTCTAAATAATCTATTTGAAATGTTATCCCGCAAACACTAAGCGATTGGCCTTGCGACATGTTATTGCGAACGCAAGGCGAACTGGATATTGCAATCGTTTGAAATCAAATGGAAGACCAGTCAGAATCATTGGTATGTCACTAAATCGCCAGCAATTTTTAATTGAATGGTGAAATTCAGGGCGTGTACATCATTATTCTTTGCGGCAAGAATTGCTCGTTGACTTAACCAAGCATAATTCTGATAATTCGCACTAATGTCATTACTCGAATTTTTAATTACGGTGCGTGAAGTTCCAGCAGCTTGCATTAAGGCACGATGCCATGCACAACTAATTTTCTTAGCTATAAACCTTGCGGAGCCCGAGACCTTTCCAACGAATGCAAAATTGTCGAAATCGGTTCGTGCGTTCTGGAGTTATTTCGTCAGGAAGGAAAACCCGACTTATTTTTATATATATAGAAGATATTAATACAATAACTATTCAATGTACGTCATCATATTTTATAAATAATAATAAGAACAATAAGATATGAGTATGTGTTGTGTATGGGTATTTAAACATGCAATAACCAATTCTAATTCAATAAAGCTCATGTTTGCTCGAATGGCGCGACTAACAAAAAAATAAAATAAAATGACAATTGAAATGTTATATGTAAAACTAGCAAAGTAGTCAATGCTTTCATTTCATTGGAAACAAACACACACCACAAACAGAAATACGATTTAATTAGTTTTTGCACGATACATACGATTTAAATTTAATTTTTTTACATTTGCTTAGTACTGAGTATTTGCTACAGTACTTTACGATCTGTTTAGTATTATAACCCATATTGAACACAGATGTTAAAACATCAATAAAGTAAAAAAATCTGAACCACTCATACGGTAATCTGCTTGAGCGAAGATTTTTGATAATTATGAAGTATTTTAATAAATAAAAAAATGATATCTTGACTTTGACTATAATGCATTCCCTTCTGTATAAAAAGTATGTGAAAAATCTCACTAAAAATGTATAAAGCTAACCTAATTGCTTGTGATTGTTAAGATATTTGTTAACTGTACCATAGTAGATAAAGGTAGTATAAAATGGCACTACTCACGTCCGGCATTACTGAGACCAGAACTTCCGGGCACTCCACTGGCACTGGCTGGACCTGCTCCTCCAGCACCAGAACTGGACGGGACTCCTGGGGCCGGAATGTTCTGTGGCAAAGGCTCGTTTGGTTCGGCTAAAAATAAAAAAGAAAATCAAATTATGAATAGTAAATTAAAAAATCTAAAAAAAATCATGTATAAAATAGACAAATACATTTTCAGTGCTATTCATTTGAGTGAAATTCAATGGCTCATTTAAATGATCAATTATAACTTTTGTATTATAATTTAAATATCAACTTGTCATAATCGTCAAGAATGTCAACAAGTACTATGCAAGTGAGAATTTTTGTAAGAAAATGAAGGACACTTCTTTCGTGGAACTAAATAACTTTATTCTGTAATGTATTATCCATTTTGATCAATGACTATTTTTATCATCATTCAAGCAGCATCATCATTCCACTTTCATAAAACTTCAAGTTTTTTTCGGCAAAAAAACTGAATCAGGTACAATTTGACACCATCATAATCATTGGATTGTTTACTATTCAAGAAGTTTTGTATAGATCTAAACAAAAAATGAATCAGAAAGTGCAAGGTCAGAGCTGTATAGTAAATATGGCAAATCATCCCAACCAATAAAAGATATGTGATGTTGTATCAATAATGAAATAAATAAACGATTCGATTTGTCAATTTAGGCTGCTTTTCAAGGCTCGTTCTTTAATTTCGTAAGTTGTTCAATGTAGGCATCAAAATTAATCGTTCGGTTAGATGGTAAGAGTAAAAGTAGTAAATTTCTTGGAGTGAATAATCATTAGAACCAAATTTGGCAAACCAATTTAGACACTGTCACCATAAACAGCTCATAATATTTTATGGGCTTTCGATGGAAATTTACTTTTGCTGAAAGAAAAAAATATGATAGCTGATAGATAAAATATGACCAAAATTTCAAACAGATTTTCCATCTTTCAACGAACGTCAAACGTAAACTACCAATCAATCAAAAAGCTATTTTTTACTGATGGGCATCTAAATTGCAAACTATCTATTAATAAAAGGTATATTACATTTGGACTACGTCAACAAACCTAAAAATTCAACTTAAATCATCTGAGTTGAAAACCGCACTTACCTGGTTGCCAGTATAGTTCAGTCATTTACGCTTAAATTAGGTAAGAATCTCGGAATTAGAAATACCCAGCTTTAAGTCTGTATATACTTGTATATTGACACCCTAAAGTTGTCTCAAAACCTACATATGGTAGGGTGTCAATACCATATGTAGGTTTTGAGACAACTTTAGGGTATCAATATACTATGTTTACAGACTTACAGCTGGGTATCTCGAACTCCGAGGTGAACTTACTATAATGACTGAACTAATATAACTTCTACATATTAGCACAATCCATTTTATTGTTTAATTAACATATTAATGTATTACATTCATTTATTTTGAACGTTATTGTCTTACTAGAGACTGTGAATGAATACATTATTTAATTATTCTACAAAAAATACCAAATGTTGAAGATTTGATGTCTAAGAAAGATTCATATAATCCCTCTAGTCAATTATTAATACAATTCTATTTATTATAAAACAATATTTATCTGAATCATTATTTTCCAGAAATAATGCGTTTATACTATGCATATGGACAAAACTATTTCTCCCCCGTCAGACAAAACTAAGGGATTGTTAGCTTGAGGCAGACAATCGATTTATCTCAAGCAACACATAACGTTTGGTATACATAGAGTATTCTAATAACAGCAATAATGCAATGAAGTCTATTTCGAAATTTTCAAAATATCTGAAAATTCATTAAAAATTTATTTTTACTTTGTTAGAACATTTTCAACATATTCTGCAACACTTTCCATTTTTCTTTAAGAAAAATAATACAGGTCTAGTGATTTTTTTTCATATCTCAACAGCAACCAAACCTTACGTCCTATAAGCTGTTGGGCTGAAACTTCTCCGTACTTCGTATTTTTAGATGGTAACCCAATGGTTAAACCATCCATATTTGATGATTTTATTATTATAATTTATCTAATAGGGCTGACTTTTTATTGGAGCAGCAATACCGGGTGAGGGCTATTTTCACTTGAAAACATATTGGCAAACTATATTTTCAAGTGAAAATCGTTGTCACTGCCGCATGACAACAGGCTGCTCGAAGTTGGTATCGAACCCGAACCTCTAAATCAAAGTCCCGTCGCTCCCGTAGGTGTCCCGCTGGACACCTACGGGCGAGTCCAGATCTAGTGATTTGATGATTTCATGGGAAAATTCAATACTTTTGTATCCAAACAAATACTATCGTATAAGACGTTTTTTTATTATTCAAAGAAATTAATTTTAGACTTATACGTAATTCCACTTGGTTGTTAGCTCTATATTCTCGCAAGTTATAGAAATCACAAAAACTTAATTTTTAATAATTTAGTCGTTTAAAACCCATTGGAATACATATCTGTAGTACACTTACATATGCATATTTATTTGTACTGATCTGCAACATTTTAAACATTCAATTCGTATTGACAAAAATCAAATTGATGTTTGTCTTCTAATAAAGCAAAATAATAACTAGTTGGTATTGGTATTTTGCCTTGAGGCAAGTTACATGAACTTCCCGATGTGTGTAAATAATCAACTTAATCAATAAAAAATAAATTAATTTATGAGTGATTAGAAGTATTCCGAGTGGATTTATTACACATCATTGAAAATGAACGAACACGTCAACTCGGAGAATTTTCTAAAAAAAAATTTTCAAAAATCAACCATTTTTATATTTGAACCAGTTTCTAGAGGACTTTAATGGTTTAGTTAAGTATGTTCATTAAGACAAAGTACTCTATTATTATACCAAGTAAATCGTCTAATTTTAATTTTAGCTAACGCCAAGAAAACTACTCATTTTCTCGAACTTTGATAAATTTTTAAAATTCAACAACTTGTCTTAAGGCCGTAATATTACAGTAAGTTCTATAAGATCATGTACCATAAAAATCGGCTTAAATTTTTTTTCAACAAATTACAAGAAAACGGCTTGGTAGATTTTCACCTAAAAATAATCAGTATCATTCCCAACTAATACCTTTCGAACAGTTTATGATTTTTTAAAATCGATTCGGTAGTATGAGCTTAAATGTGGACGAAAAGTTTAACACTTTTTTTTTCAAATTACAAAGAAACGGATTGGCAGATCGTCGCACTACACTGACAAACGATAGTCCTCATCGAGATACATCAAATTGCTTTTAAATTTCTGAAATCGGTTCAGGCGTTTTTGAGAAAACGTCGATAAAAGGTATAATTTTGACAAATGCCAAAAAAACGATACTAATTTTTGCAAACTTTGACGAATTTTTGAAGTTATTATTGCCGTAGGGCCGTAATATTTTAGTATGATCTAGAAGACTATGGTATCTACCGTTAAAAAAATAATAATAAAAATTGTCGAAAATTTTTTTTAAGACTTTATTACAAGAAAACGGCAGGTCGATCTATACCAAAAACTAATCAGCACGTTTCCCAACCAATATCTTTCGAACGGTTTTTGAATTTTCATAATCGATTCAGAATTGCGGGCTAAAACGTGGACGAAAATTTTTTCACGTTTCTGCTATTTATAAAGAGACGTCTCGGCCGATCGTCGCACAAACGATAGTCCTCATCAAGATACATCGATTGGCTTTTAAATTTTTAAAATCGGCCCAGCCGTTTTCGAGAATACGTCGAATTACCGCAAAAAAAATTGTTCACGCACGCGCACACACACACATACTTTTTCCAAATTTGGTCTCATTCGATTCAGAATGGCTTGAAACGTCGAGAAAACAAAATTAGTGAATCGGATTTTTTGATGAAAACATAAACTTCTCCTTCGGGTAGTAAAAAATATTTTAAAAGATCAGTTGAGAATTATCTTCTTAAAAATATATTATAAATATCCTATTTTATATAAAATAGCGTTATGTTATGTACCATCTACAACAAGGGTGACCAACCTTTTTAACGCACGGGCCACACTTAAATTTCAAAAGCTTGTGATGAGCCGCATTTAAATATTAAGATTTTATAGGGGGCCGCATTCACTATAATTTACAAAAATTAATACGTTATAAATTAATTCAACAAGAAAAGAATACGTTATAATTTTTTATTGATGAAAAAAAATTGATAAAAAAAATAAAATTATATTTTAAAAATGCTTGGAGGGCCGCAAAAAAATAATTAATTAGCCGCGGGTTGGCGCGTTGCTCTTCTTCGATCTATAAAGAATTCTTTATTTTCTGAAATTATTGCTAAAACAAATAAATATAAATAGAATATAAATAGAAACAAATAAATATAAATAAAAAATGATGTTTGGATTTTTATCCAATCTAACTCTTATATTTGCCTCTAAAACGGGGAAATCCACTAAATTTTTGAGTGCCATAAAATCGTAGTTCGGTTTATTTCATTTAGCATGTTATGTTTTTCTTGTAAAACTGTATCTATAGGTGTTTTTATGTATTACATATATATATATATATATATATATATATATATATATATATATATATCTAAATCTACATATGTCAATAGATCAGGTCTTGAATATTAAAGAGTCGAAAGATATTTGCTTTAGATTTTATGCGATATGAATGCCTTATTATACTGAATGTTGGTAAAAAGAACTTATTTATATAGAAATGTATACTTAGAAGATGCAAATAATTAGATATTCATGAATATATATATATATATATATATATATATATATATACAAACACACATACACATATAATGCATGTATAAACATTAGTAATCTTAAGAGTGAAAATGTATCAGTTTTCAACCAGAGCAATTAAATAATCGGATTACAAATATATCGAGACTATGTTTTGGCGGCGTAAATTTAAATTTGATATGATATTTGTATAACACATATATATTTGTTATGAATTATTATTTGGAAACTGAGATTTTGGTTACTATTACAATAGTCATGATGAAGTAATACTGAAATTGTGAATTTATAGGTGTAAATACGATTGGAGAAAACTACTCAAATATTATTTAATACTATTATTACTAAAACCAGCCTAGTATATTGCTAATT